CTGCTTATATGACATAACTGCCTGAATGTCTGTGGATGAAGGTTAGATTGCTTGAATTGGAACAATTCATTAAAATCCGGATTTTAGCCTACTTGCGAGTAGCAAACCTCAAACCGTTTTCAAACAAGCGGATATGCGATACTTTGTTCCAAATTAAGCGATCTAGTCTATACTTGTTTTGCTGTGCGCATCACGTAGTAATTCTAGGCTAATAAACCGGAATAAAAGCACATAATGTTTTCAAAAATCGATATCATGGTTAGTAGAGGCCAATCTTTGATCGGATGAGCGGGGGTGCTCATAGCTGACCTTCCCCAATCGTACCCAAGTTCCCAAGCCGAGGCAACTTTGGTGATAAGGGACACGTGGCCTTAGGCAACGAGTCAGGGTTTCCTAAATTTTTCCAAAAATAAAATATTTAGGTGGCGACTTTGTATCTGGCAAAGCAGTCCATGTTCGGCACTTCTTTCTAAAAATTAGTTTTTCAAAACGATTTGCCGGATTTGGACTCTTTAGTGATTTATCAATCTTGCATTGCACTTTGCGAGATTAGATTCAGAACCGTGGCATTTGAGTCCGAATTGTAGTAAACCCCAAATGAACAAAACGGGATTCCCTCTCGGAACGTTCGGGGACGTCTACAAATGTAAAGTGCAAAGTTGTTGACTGTAATTTGTCCATAATCATGATAACTTATTTTCTTATATGATCTATCACCACGATATTAGTAAAAATCATAAATAGTTAGACTTATTTGAGCATCTCCAATACTAGGGTTTTTCTATGGTCTGCACTCTTTAAGGGATATATATCATAGCACCCCTACCATAAAATGTGTAATATTGTGACAAATTGACATAATAAAATATGACATAATCAAATCACAAACTTTTGTAACATTATTATAAAATTTTGAACATTTTATTACGTCAATTTGTGATAAGGTTATATATTTTGTAATTGATATTATAAAATTTTATGATAAAATTATACGTTTTAAGATATGATACATATGATATGCACCCCTATATAGCATTTTCCCTAATACTATAATGCTAAAATGAATAAGTTACATTTTAATAATTTTAATAATGCTTCTTTATTGGTGCACTAGTTATTTCTTCTAATTTTTATTTATTTTCTAAAAAATAAATTAAATGCCATTTGTGAGTCATGTTATAGTCAAAATTACTCTTTTGCTAGAAAAAATGTTAGGAATACTAAATGTTATACTAATATTTTTACCATATATCTTACATAATGTAAAATTTACTATTATAAGTCTCCCACTTATAAAAAAAAAATATTAATAAAATATTTAAAATTTCTAATATTACTCTTTTGCTAAAAGGCCGGCCTTATCACCAAAGAAAATACGAAAAAGAAAGAAAAGAAAAGAAAAAAAAAATTGTAGAAAGAAGACTTGAGGAGACACAACCTTATCACCAGCAGGGCAATGGTAGAGGGCCACAATTTTTGTGGTTCAAATGGCTCAAAACTGTCAAAACGACGTCGTTTTGAGCACAACACATACCAAAACGACATCGTTTTGACAATTTTAAACCATTTAAGCTACAAAAATTGTGACCCTCAAACATTATTCTTAATCTACTCACTCACTACTTTCTTGAATAAAAAATGCAAAAAATAATGCACATTAAAAAATGAAAAAGGTTTGGTTTTTAGTGCGGGGACATTACTGACATGTACGATAAAGAACGCTTTTTTTAAAGCAGAACACTTAAAAAAAATTAAAATAATAAAAAAATAAAAAATAAAAAAAGCTTGCTTGGTTGGTATATATCCTTATCGGCGCAGCTAGTTCCAGGAAAATTCCAGAAATGGAATTGGGAAATTTTATTCTTAGCCTCCAAGAAATCTCACTAGACGTCATTTATTTTTGGAAGAAATTCTAGCATACACGTCTTTGGAAATGAGTGTACCGTATGAATCTTAATTATATTATTTTGTTTAGTTAACATTATTTTTTTTTCTTTAATGGTGATATTATTTTAATTATAATTAATGAGATTTTTAGTTATATCCCATGTAATATTTAGGGTTCATTTGGAAAGTGAGTTAACTTTTTGACTTTTCAATTTTTTTAGTCAAAAAAGTCAGTTTTTTTATCCAAAATAACTCAGCTTTTTACCAAAAAAATCACTAAAAAAGTCAACTTTTTACTAACTTTCCAAAACAGCATTTACTATGAATTATATCAATTTCTTCATTTGATTCCCTGTACATGGGAATTTACTCCACAAACCCTATTGGGTAGGAATTAGGAGTTATTTTAGAGCATTGCATTTATTAGGAGTTATTTTAGAGCATGCATTGCATTTATTTTTTAAAAAAAATAAATTTTAGATACTTATAGTAATTGTAAATGATAGTGAGATACAACAATACGAGTCGAATATAGAATTAATTTTAGGGTAATGTTAGAGATACCAAATTTTCTACCAAATAAATGACCAAATGTCTCACATGAGTGTGGGGTCCGCAATTTTGTGGGCCCCACACTCATGTGAGACATTTGGTCATTTATTTGGTAGAAAATTTGGTATCTCTAACATTACCCTAAAATTAATTCTATATTCGACTCGTATTGTTGTATCTCACTATCATTTACAATTACTATAAGTATCTAAAATTTATTTTTAAAAACTATTTGATATATTATTAAAAATAAATATTTATTTATTTATTTTTATATTCACGAGCCTTATCGATCCGAGTTTAGGACTACTCAAACTTGGCTCGATTAATAAACGAGCCTAAAAATCAAGTTAGTGCTCATTTGTTTAGTAAACGAGTCGAGCTTAAACGAGCTTCGAAACGAGCCGAGCTTCAACTATTCATGAACAATTTGGTTCATCTGCAGCCCTATCTTCTCTATACCCAACTAGCTCTGACTACCACCCTTTTCAGCTTTGGTGATCCTCTGTACCCCACCTTATCCCACCATTGCCCAGTAACCTAGTCATTTCTTACCTCTAACACTACCCCTCAATCTCATTCTTTACCCATCGTTGTTGCTCACTATTGTATGGGTGAGATTTTGAAGACCGGTACAAATCTCTTGTTGAGTGTGTTGGAGTCCTTCAATAGCTTAAAGAATGAGAAGTGGATCTTGAGCTAGAGTTCGCTCATCACCACCATTGGAAGATCCTTGGTATTGAATCTTTTCTTTCGCCATCTTCGTTGGAGTAGTGTGTCTTCCAGATCTTGTTACTACCATTAACCAATCGGCCTCGCTAGTAAAGTCACCAAAATGTATGTAGGGGTCTGAGAACGTCACTAAAAATTCGAATGTCGCCAAAAACTTTGAAAGCTCACCAGAAACTTCGAATATTCGCTGGAAAATTTGAATATCGCCGAAAAATTTGAATTCTCTAAAAATGGATGGTAATGCTTAGATTCTTCAACGATTGCAACTAGGAACATAATAGGAAAGAATTGATGGAGATAAGAGATTGGATGAAGAAAAAGACAAAGAGATTAGAGAGAGAATAATGGCATAGCCCTCTCATAGATCTCCCACTTTCACTCTCAAAGAAACAATCAAGTATAGAGATTAGTCCTCTCCAAGTGTACTATCTCAATTGCTCTTTGTAAAGTTATGGATGAATGCTATTTATAAGCAACTCATGATGCAAGATTGAGCCTATATGCAGATAGGGAATATTCTCTGTAACCACTTTGTCTGAGAAAGTCATCTGTCCAAGGAAGTCATCTCTCTAAGGATGAGGAAAATTCTGAAGATAGATTAACTACAAACCTTTCTTCTTAGTCACAGTTAACAAATGATCCCCAATCATTCCAATGGGTGAAGGGTAGTCCCAGAGGACGCCCTATCACAGAAGGGTCAGGAGTAGTTCAAGAAAACGCCCTGTTGCAGAAGGGTCAAGGGTAGTTAAATAGAATGCCCTACCACAAATATTGCCTAGTCTTATGGACCTTCTAGGTCATCTACCTTGACTTGAGTGTAGGCTTGTTTAACTAAAGAGTGAATTTATCTTCACTCATTATCCTCAAGATCCGGTCTTTTGTTCGGGCTCCACCACACTCATAGTTCTGGTGTGTCGATCCCGAAAAGCTCCGAGTCCGCAAGTGTTCTGGAACTCATTAACGGGGCAACTTCTAAATTACGTTTGAATCATTTCAAAGCCAAATGCTTCTAATCTCTAGATTTGCTTAGAACCCTTTTGAGTCCAAGCTTAAGAGATTTCTAGGTTTGTGGTTTCGAACCCTTTCGAGATTAAAGTGCTTACCTCGTGGATGGATCTCCTTCGAGGATTTCACCAGTTTAAGTCCCTCATATGCCTCTATGATTGTGACCTCCTCGAGTGGGTTTGTTTGGGCTTCTTTGGAGTTATAAGCTTATTGGCCCTTTCCGATCCATTTAGTTGATACTCTTTTGGGTCCATTTCAATAGGATATGCTTAGGCCTATTTGGTGACGATTCCTCTGGACCCATTGGTTTTGGGCTTTCTAGTTGGGGTCCGATTGGGCCCACTTACTTCTGTGGGCTCGAGTCAACCCCTTTTATAGACTTTTATAATTAAATAATTCTTAATTCATAGTTTTATCAATTTAAATTTTAATATTTTGATTTATTTTTAATCTAAACTATTTATCTATTTTCGTTAAGTAAAAATTGACGAAAAAATAATATTTTACACATTTTATATACATTTATATTAAATTTAGTGATTAAAATATTATAAACTGTCAGCTTTTGTTAGTAAAAATAGGTGAATAATTTAAATTGAAAAAAAAAATTAAAAAAAATTAGAATCTAAATTAATAAAATTAAAAACAAAATTTATTTTGTTACAATAGAATCAATCTTGAATATTGTTGTTGTTGAAAATTTCTCCGTATATATTTTTATTTGATAATAATGTAATGGTCATTACAAAAATTAAAATAATAATAAAATAAGATTAAGAAAAAAAGGAAAAGAAAAAAAAAAAAGGGTGTTCGGAGGCACGCACCTAGAAAGGCCCAAAACCCATATAGAATATGATCCTTATGGCAAGCGCCGGCGGTGACATTTTGAGCATAATTAGAGAAGCATTTCACGTGACGTCTGCATTGTTTGTAGTTGTAGAGATTCCAGTAAAGATCAAATCCATGAGCCAACGCGTTGTGGACCTCCAACAAGCTCGAAGTGTTACCTTGAAGCTCCCACATCCACTGCCTTGAAGGAAAAATCATGTCGACGCTGCACAAGTTTGCAACATCTGACCACGACGAAGGAAAAAAGGAGCTGATCAGAACGTATGAATGCTGCTTCGACGATGACGAACCTCTGACTCCTCCTCCTTTGTTTTCACAGGAAGCAGTACTAATGTAGAGAGAAGATTTCACTGGTTTTTCACAACTCACTAACGTTGCAAAGCCATTCAAATCAACATCATATGGTACCGCTATATCAGTAAAGTTGCGAGGTGTTAAAGAATGAAGAGGAAGAAAGGAGCAATTATTCCTCTGTATCCCCACATCCACCAGGCTGATGCTGCGGTCAATGTAGTTGATGGCCTGGACGTAGTATTTACCAGAAAACAAGTTTAGTACTGTCTGATTGTTCTCACACTCAAGTTCGAAATACTCGTTTCCACAGTGATCATGTGAGTGGGCTTTGAGTCGAAAGGGGAAACTGATGTTTTGGATATCTCCACAAGAATTCTTGTGGAGGAGTTGCTGCTGATTTTGATTATTAGTATCACAATTCACACAAAAAAAAACATGAACATGAACAACAACAACAACAACAACAACAAGGGTTATGTAACCAGCACCAAAGAAGAGCCTTCCCCTAATCATGATGGTGGGGAGAGAGAGAGAGAGAGAGAGAGAAGGAAGAGGGGGGGGGGGGGTTTAATAAGGAAACAAGACCATAAATTTCTCAAGTTAGCCACTTCGGTTCATAACACTATTTCTTCCATACCTTTCCTCCGTATCCTTCGTACTTTATTTTTGACCCAACCATTATTGTATTCTAGATTTGGGTTTCATAATTTCGTATTGTTATTCATATCTTGTTTTCCTTATTTTTTCCTAAATTTGGTTATTGGTTTGCTATGATTACGTGCTATGATTGCGTTCGGGACAGATTGGTTGCTTAGTTTCCAAACTTTTGTTGTCTAGGATTTTGCTCCTCCGCTCGAGCGGCAATTCTTGCGCTTGAGTGGGCTTTGTGAACTCTTAGTACCTTTGCAGGTTTGCAAAACTACTAGAAGATTGTATTGTACGCTTGAGCGGCCTCAGCTCGAGCGGTCCCTTTCTTGTGCTCGAGCGTTGGTCTATTGCCTGCAAAATTATTAAATATGTATAATCTGCGCTCAACGTCACTTCTTACATCCGAGCAGAACAACTTATTCTGTTTGACGCTCGAGCGTCACTTCTTAAGCTCGAGCGGACTGTGCGTTTATCAGTTCGAAAAAATCACATTTTACATCACTTTTTCACATCTCTCTCTCTCTACTTTTCAAAAACCCTAGATTTAAAGTCTCTCTATCTAAAACTTATCTTCTCTCTATATTTTCACCTAGATCTAGTGACTTATCTACTCGTGTGCCTTTGTTAAAAAGGGAGAGCATCTTAATGACTACGTTTTGATCCGAATAGAACTTGGTTTCGGTACCTTTGAAGTCTTTCCATCTATTTCTTTAGTCTTCTAAACTTGAGGTAGAAACTTTCTACACTCTTCTATGAGTTTTAACATAGCTATTAGTTAATGTGTAAAAATTATTGGAACTTAAGGTGATTTTAAACAAACCTATGGTTTTGGTTTAAAATCAAAAGAGGGGTTTTCAAATGAGGGTATTGAAAATAGTTAGGGGTGTAGATATGAGAATGTGTTGTGCTAAATCTATTGATTTTGACACATGGATTGGATTTTGGAAGAAAATGAAGTTTTTCCCTAAAATGTTTCAAATAATTATTTTGTATAAATAATGGAATTGGTACTAGGAATATGAAATTGGATAGATGTTTAAATAAATAGTGGGGTTGGATATGGGTTATCTCTCACTTATGGAAATTTGGTTAATTTATCTGTCTTTGAGGTTGTATATCTATTTAGAAATATCTGTTTTGGGTTATCAGTGAAGGATAGCTACGATTGTTGTAGAAATTGCATGGGGATTATGTAAATTGAAACTATTTTCTTATATGTTGCCATTGAATGTGACTGTGTTTTAATACATTGTATATGTATGATATTTGGGAGGAGAAATGGGATACACTCCATGTTTGGGAGAAGAAAATGAATGAACTTCATTAAATTAAGTTAGCTTGTGTGTCCTGGGTGAAAGTCCAGAAAATCGCGCGTATACATAGGTGTCGATTCCTGCGAACGAAATTTTCATAAAATAACAAACTGAAGTATTTGTGTGAAATTGTTGTGTTGGTTAGAGAACCACTGAGTTGTAGCCTCAGTTGGGTTGTCTGAATAAAAATGGACAAGACTCATGAATTGAGGTAAAATGAATTAACATGGAATGACTTGATATAAAATGGTTTGAGAGATAAAACTTGGTATGTTATGATTTTGTAAAATATGAATGATTTTTATCACAGGCATGGTACATACACATCATACTTATATCTTTATTAAGATTCATATATTGTGTTAGACTATTTCTACTGAGTTTTGGCTCACCCTACTTGGAAAAAATCATTTTCAGGTGCTGGTGATATGCCTCTGCCAAGGGCTTAGCTTGGGAGGATTGTGGATCTAAAGACTCAATCTTTTGTTTATTTTGTATTTACTTTTTACAAGCCTAGGGCTTTATTTGTATGGAGCTTATAACTCATTTTGTTGTAACTAAGCACGGTCTTGGAAAGATGTAAGCCTTTAGAGCATAAGAATATCTATTTAATTTTCATTCCTTACTACTTCTTGTAACACATGTTGTAAATTTATGATGAACGATCTATGAATGTATATCGCATGTATCACCTTTTGTACATTAACTCTGATTAATGAAAGCTTCTTATCTTATTTATACCGCTTTGTACTAGTGTTTGGAGTTGGATCATTGCATTTATTTTGGACCGTTACAATTTTTCTTTTTAATATTTGTAAAGTTTATTACTAATTTGAAAATATTTTTCTAAAATACCCACTTAAATAAATTACTCATTTTTTTTACTCTCTAAATCATTTTACACTAGATGGGCCAAAAAAAAAAAAATTGGAAAAAAATTTAAGATTGGAATCCATGACTTTTGATGTAAGAGGCACAGACCCTAGAAACAAGTATTGAATAGATAAAGGCACAATAAATTTACGGAAATGTTATGATTCATAAAAATAAATAAATAAATTAATTAATTAAATAAAATAAAATAAAATTTTACAAACGATCACAATGAATTAAAATGAGTAAAATGTGGGTTTCCCTTAGAATAATTATAATTGAAAGATATATATTTTTTGAATAATTTTCTAAATATACAGTATTGTAAATAATTTATTATTATTATTATTATTATTTGATTATCTTATTTTAATTATTGTGTGATGTATCACCACAATATTAATAAAAATCATAAATGGTGAGACCTATTTGGGCATCTCCAAAGCTAATGGTAAAATGGATAGTCAAAATTAAAATTTGATTTTATTATAATATCAAAAATGTTAAATTTTAGTAATGTTACTTTATTGGTGTACTAGGTACTTCTTTTGTTTGTTTCACAAACAAAAATATATATATATATATATATTAAAATTAAAATTAAAATTAAATGTAATTTGTAAGTTCCGTTGTGAATGAGAAATATGTCAAAATTTGGCGTATGGATGGAACACCACCTTAGAGCATCTCCAACCCACTAGGTATATCACACTTGTTAGTCAAAATGCCTAGTATAACTCATTTTTTTCAATTCCAATGCACTAGGCATATGATTAGTCATTTTAGCTCAACTCACATTCACTAGCTACATGTAGCTAGCGTTCAAGGCTAGGCAAAATGTATTTAATCATTAGGATCATTTCCCTCCATCTTTGTTACTGATGTGGCATTTTATAAAATTAATAGTATTCAGATGAATAGCTAAAATAAAGAGCATGGTCGGAGTAAAAACATGAAATAGTTGATAGGCAAAATAAAATATATACTTTATAGTAATGTTTAAATAGGTAAAATGCCTATTACCGTTGGAGATACTCTTATGACCAAAGAAAATACGGGGAAAAAAATGAAAACAAAAGAAAAGAAAATGAAGAAAGAAAAGTCAATAAAATGCATTAATTATTATTTTTATCAGCATAAAATGTAATAATTATTAATATTTAATTTTTGTTTTAATATTTTTTAGGTAAATTACAAACACACCACCTGAGGTATATTTACATTACAAATTATCCCTGTAGTTTTAGAAATTACAATATGCCCTATAAGGTTTTTAATTTCATAACAAATAAGTTCTTTTATTAATAAATCATCAAGTTAATAAACAGTTTTTAATGATATTAAAATTTTATTTCAATTAATAATTCAGATAATTTTATTACTGTATAGGAGATAAGTTAGAAATTTTATTTCTTTAGTTAATTCTGTTGAATAAAAAATTCAAACAGAAATATATTTGTAATTTTTCAAACCACAGAAGACAATTTATATTTTAAATAAATATCAAAAAATTGTATTTATAATTTACGTATATTTCTTTCACGAAGCATAACATCACTCTTTTGTGTGAAATCAATCAATTGATTCGAAGTCTATTTTATTCTAGTTATGTGAAAAAGTGCCAAACATTGGGAATTATCCAGGAAAGAGCTGGGAACACGAACAGGGAGAAGTGAGGACTACTTTAAATGAGGAATCTGATTGTATTTTGTCCTTTCTTCCCTACTCTGATTGAAACTCTTTTCGTACAAGTCAAAGAAGACTTGGAAAGACCAAACCTTATCACCAGCATATGTTTCGTGGATGCACACCTCCTTCACAAGTTGCACAAAAATTATTAAATTCTTTGACATCAATTATTAATGGGCTAGGCGTGACTGAAATCTATGATTTTAATTGGATGGATTCGATAGTTTCACTCCCAATTTAATCATAGATTTTTTGATTTTTGATAGTTGCAATAGTTCCATCTTCTTTCAATCTTCATCCCATGCTATTGTGGGTGTTCTTTCTCTTAAAATCTGACTTTTGGCAGTGACCGAAGTACAGTAGTAGCACTAGCAGCAACAGTGATAATAGCGGAGTTGGTCAGCGGCGACAGGAACAACGTCAGAGATGACGATAGGTTTGATGCAGATCTGTGAGAAGATTAATGATTTTTCTTGGATTATAACTATTTTTTTGTCGATTTTATTTTTTGTTATTTGTAGTTTTGGTAAGTTTTTTGTTTGGTCCCTTGAAGTTTTATTATTTTTATTTTTCTTAATTTATATGATTATTTATTTTTATTTTAATATAACTACTTTATAATTTAAAAAAAAAAACAAAAAAAAGTAATTACAAAACATCGTAATGGAAAATATGTACACCTAAAAAGAGAGTATGGATAATAGAATTTCCAATTATATCAAGACCAACCCAAATACTGTTTCAATTGGTGGCTATGCAATTGAACGTTGGACGCGGTTTAATTGGTGGTTAATGACTAAGTCCACACGCTTACAAGACGAGTTGAAGTCAAGTCTACTATAAAAAACAAAGCCGAATCTCACCTATAGTTAGTCTACTTTGGAAAAGAAAAAAAAGAAAATCAAATTCCACAAGGGAATTCGCTGTACTTTCGTTTTAAAAATTTTTAAAAAAAAAATTATATTTAATTTTTTTTAAATTTAAAATAATATATAATAAGTTTTTTAAGTTTGCCATAATTAAATTTTTTTAAGGTTTTAATTCATATAACAATTAATCTATTTTCATTATAAATCCATAAATCATATGAATAGAAAAATGATGTTAAATATTACCAGCTCTCTTACATTGAAATATAAGACTATATAATTTACCTTATTTATCTTCGTGTGTTTTACTTTATCTGCATTAATGTTGATCCCTTTACACTTCGTAAAAGAGAGGTCAGTGTATTATGCTCAATTTGCCTTAGCATTTTTTGTAGTGATTTTTTTTT